GCTAGAATTCCAAGTTTGACAACAAACCAGGTAATTCTTTTCGCAATGAGTCGTTCTAGGCCCTTGCCAAGACATGACAGTAGCGATATTGGTCTGTAGGCCCTGGGATTGGAGTAGTCTTTCTTTCCTGGTTTTGGGATCATCACCACCTCAGCTACTTTGAATGGTTTAGGGTGGTGTCCAATCAGTAGGCAGGTCTGGAAAAGGGCTCTGATATGTTCACCAATGACTGGCCAGCAAGCTTTCAGAATCCGTACTGTGAGGGTATCTACTCCCGGGGAGTTGCTCTTGGTTCCTAAAGTGCACCCTTCAGCCTCTTCCAGTCCGACGTGGTATTCAAGGGGGATGTGTGGCTTGGGTTGTATGATCTGAGCGGACCAGGGGTCGATGATATCGTTGTCTGAGGTACTTCGTTCAAGCGTGGCTGAGCGTAATGCATTTGCCTTGCTCTCTTGTGACTCGAATATTTGGTCTCCTATGATGATTGGAGGGGAACGCATTCCTGCTGATAACTTGTGCCAAGAGACGATTCTGTATAGGTCCTTTGGCTCAGTTGCTGAATTGATTAGAGTCTGCCAGTACTCTCTCCTAGCTTTCCGAACCACGCCGCGAAATTCCCGTCGGGCTGAATTCCGTCCTTCTTGGCTTGTAGTCTGTTTGGAAAGGGCCCTGTATGTCTGAACAGCTGCTTTGCAGTCATCATTCCACCAAGCAGTGGGCCTAGATTGACGGGGCCTCTTGCCCACTGTCCTGATACAGCCTTGGATCATGTTGATCAGGCTTTGTGTAAAGGTGTCCACCTGGCCAGGGGATACACCCAGCCGGGGGAGTTCATGAATCCTGGTTTGGACATTATCTGCCAGCTCCTGTAGTTTATCGTCCGGTACTATCCAATGATTGGCCTTGGGTACTCGGTCCAGATCTCCCTGGATTGGAATGACTATTCGTAATGTCTCATGATCTGAGGTGCACTGAAGTGCATCATTGACTGAGGCTTCAGCCATGGGGACATCAGAGAACACCAGATCTAGTACATTTCCGTCATCATGTGTCGGGACATCTGGTTCAGAAATCAGATCCAGTCCGTGGTCTGTCATAGTTTGTGCAAGTATAGTACCACCATGATATCCTGGATTGCTTGAGTCCCAGGATGTGTCGCCAGCATTGAAATCTCCAGCTATAACGCAGCCAAAAGGTGGAGTCCATACTTCCAGAATGTCATCCACTTCCTGTGGGTTGTCACATGGCCGGTAGACACTGGCAAATGTAATGCCTTGTACCTTGACCCAGGTGATGTCTCGTGTAGCATAGGGCCGAAGTTGATCCGCTTGAAGGTATTTTCTCACATAGATGAGAGATCTGGGCCGTGTACTGTCGCTGTCCCAGGAATCCACTGGGGAGTATATATCGTAATTGGGGTGTGTCTTTACTCCCATTCTCCTGCCTGGTGGTATGCCAACCCAGGGCTCTTGCATCAGAATGATGTCTGCTTGTTCTCCTTTATAGTCAGCCAGGTTGATGGCTAACTCTGTAGGGCCTGCACTCTTTTGTCCCCCTGCTGTATTCACAGAATGGATGACTAGATGCCCGTGTCGATGTGTTTCGTTTGATGTACCTAACATTGACTGACAACAATGGTATCGGCATCTCTGGAATGAGTTGTATCTGTTGTGTCGATTTGCATTGTGGTGTCTTTGTTATTATTGCTAGGTGTTGACCCAGCTTGGTTTCTGCCTGCTTCGTTGAAGGCCTTGGATCTGGCTCTTTCTCCGGCTAGCCTTATTTCCTGGATTTGCTCCCATGTGTGCTTATGGATGGTACCTTTCACAACCTTGGGGCGGGCAGGGCATTTGTCGAAGTTGGCAGCATGAGGTCCTTTGCAGTTGACACACTTTGGGATTGGTTTTTCGCACTCTCCCTGGTGTACTGTGTTGGCGCAGTGTGCACATACTTGCTTTTCGCATCGGTAATTCCTACCATGGTATCTGAAGCAGCTTGCACACTGGTGAACCTTGGGGGTGTGTTGAATATGCCTTGAGGTCATTGAGTGGGCAAAAAGCGTGAATGGTTTCCTTGCTGCACTGGGCAGAGAGATTATCCATGTAGTTTCTGGATCAGAATCAATCGTGTTCTTTGAGAGTATGCACCTCAGAGGTCTGTCGCCTGTTTGGGCTTCAACTTCATCGGCAACAACAGTGTCAGTAATATCGATTGTGAACCCTTCTGCACTGATGACCTTTCTTGGGCATCCATTGACCTTGTAATGATGCCAGACTGTGTGGGTCTCAATCTTTTGTGCCTTGAGAATGTCGGCAATTTCTTCTTGTAAAGCCAGAAACTTAGCCTGAGTTGGCTTGTCCCTTGGGTGTAAGGTAAAACCAGAAGGACATCGTGTCACTTCTCTAAGCTCCTGAGGGTGGAGCTTAAGTCTTCTGTTCAGTGTAGACTTGATTCCATAAGGCTCTAGGTGGCTATTATCCATGCGGACAAAGACCCGGAGATCATCCTGCTTCTTCTTCAGTTGGTTGGCAGTGATAAGGGCGCCAGGCTGTGTTTTCTTTATGGTAGTGTTGACTGTCCATGGATGCTGTCGTTGGCCAGAGGAGACAGCTTGGGCGAAGGTCATGGTGGGCTTCCCTATCCCTATCCCGCCAGGAGTGGTCTTTCTTTTGGGCAGATCTCGGGTTTCCAGCCACTCGTTCAGGCATTTGGAGAAGAAAGCGCTGAACTCCTTGGCATGAGAGTATAGTTCGGTTCCAGCTTTTTCCAGTGTCTTATCGACTGCTGCAGCACACTCTTGAAACATTGTCATCCTGGCTTCATAGAGATGCTTGTCTTTAGCCAGTATTTTGGCTACTTGGTCCTGGCACTTTGAGGAAGAGACCTTGTTCCCTGTATCGCCTCCAATGGCTTGGTCTGTAGAGATTTCGTTTGATTGAGGTACTTCCATATCAATGATGCTGCTAGTATTAATATTTCGGGATTTTCCTTTCAGAGGGGAAACAATGGTGAAGTCAGCCTCAGAGACTTGTGACGGGCTGCTGTTGATGTCGTCGAGCAGTGCCTGGCGGAGCTTGCTTGGGGTTGCCGGGCCATATGTTCTTTTAGGGACCGGGGATTTGAGCACGCCGCCAGTAGTCGTCTTTGGGACGGCCACTGGCGTATTTGGGGGCCTATCGTGAAGGGGTGCCATCCAGCTTGTGAGAAAAATTTTCTGCGCCTTGGCAAGGATAGTCAGGTACTGAAATAAATGCCTGTTTTAGTGCAGATATAGAGGTTGCGCCCTAACAGCGGGGCGCCAAGAAAAATAGTTGTTTTTGGTAAGAGTGTGTGTGCGTCGAGACCAGATCTACAGACTCAAGGGGTAACTGGCAAAATATGATTGGCTGAAAGGACACGAGGCGCACCATGTTCGTCACGACTCACGAACGCCACTGAAGTTGGTGCCTAACAGACACCATTTGCCCACATCAGCGTTTATTTGTCCACGTTTGTGGTACCTAGACGGCGAGCATTACCCCAAGATCCCAAGCCAACGGCTATCCGTCAACCATTTCCACTCTACACTCTCCCGCTACGGTAGTTAATCCCTCCTTCCATACCTAGTTTTTGGAGCCACCTGTAACTAGACTATTGCAATTGCGCGTGTCATTCATTAGTCCTCTATCGTGTAGTGGACAGAAAGGGGTACACGACCCCCGTGCTCACTCTCATCATGAGGCTCATGTCGAATTTCAACCCAGGCTACTCGTCTCTGAACACCACGTCAACGCCCAAACAGCACTACGTCGAACGGCTTGCCCGAGAATGTGCGGTCGCTGGGATCATGGGCTTGTTGGTCTTTATGGCTGTGGGGGTCATGGCTGTAATGATACACAATGAGGCAATGTGGATCACATCGATTTGCACTGGGGAATCCATCTGCCTACTGATCTCTGGTTTCACTCTGTGGAGAGTAATCATCATTCGTATGTAAAGCCCTCGCTTTATTGGGACTGAAAGACCATTAGGTAGTCAGCTGATAAGAGTGAAGGGCGGACGCAGCCTCTCTCCAAGCCCAACCTCTCAAGCACTGTTCTGACTTGCCTGCTTACGATCGCCATGTTTGTGGTACTATATGCTCTATTGTGGTATCCGCGACTCAACCAGGAATCTCTACAGCAAGAGGTACAGGATATGCCATCCTTACAACCTCCAGCGATGGCTTGGATATCGATCAAGGAGCGACACGATTACTCACGCCTGCTGGGATACCCGCGACCGAAAGGGTTCGTTTCGGACCTTGCAGGGGGATTCGATACCTTCGTACCATTATGCTGGAATCAGTCAGAGGACGTCATCCTCGCCCATCACTATTGTAATTGCTCCGAGATGTTCAGACGTACTGCAAGCTCCGCTTCCTAGCCACACAGGCGGGATCTGTCAAACAGAGCGTAGGGGCTTCTTAGATGGGTGAAAACGTATATCCTGGTGTAATCCGTGTTCTTGTTGTATCTTATGGAAAAGATCGGTTCAGTGGTTCAGGTCATCATGTTGCTTACATTCTGGGTGCAGATCTACCCTTGGGTCTTGGGACCTGTTCAGGTACTAAATACACATACCAACTTCAAAGCAATGCCCAGCCTTTGATCCGGAGGGTAAAGATCCCTTGTCCCAGATACACTAAAGCTCAAAGCCCGCTTCTAGGCTGTTCCTTCCTTTCAGTGCTGCTGTCAGCCTTGTCAGCCTTGTCACCCCTAGAAGCGTGCTACAGCACACCTGTGAGCCACCCGACTGCTTACATATCTTTTAAAATCCTGCTGTGGGCTAAGGGGCCTAAAAATGCCCTATTGGCCTTGTTGGTGCACTGCCACCTCCCTGAACGCCACGGTGGCTTGTGCGCCATCCAACACAATATCGCCAAGGCTGGGGTCGAGAGCCGTACTACTACTACAGTATGTGATCGTTGCGATGATGCACATTGCACGCGCTGACGGCTCCCAGACATGCAGACGACCTCGATGGACAGCCTCAACGACATCTGCGACATCGGTAACGACTACGTAACGTGGTGCTATACGACGGTCCTCTTGCAGATGGCAGACATGACGAGGAAAGTCATGACACGGCAAAAAGCAGCATCTCCTGGTGTAAGTATGGGTCTCCGGCTAGGTACAGTAGAATCAAGGCCTAATGTTCGCAGGAAATCTTCGCTGAGGCCGGCGGCTACTTTGCGATCGTGCAGTTCGTGTGCTGGATCGCCAGCGGCATGGCGTTCCAGTAGTCGCACCGTCAGGGTCTCGTAGGCCCTTAGTGCTCATGTCATAGCATGGGAATTACCTCACGATCATCATAGCTACTGCCGACAGACCCCTCCGCCGTGAGCTCTACGAGTCCGGATACTGTACAATGTCGAGTTGGCGCTGCTTTCCCTATCGTTCGGTGTCGACTATGAGGCAGCTTATCAGAGGAGGTTGATGCAGGCGGCGGATGTTACTCTTTTGGAGCAAGAAGGAGACCTTGACGATTATGGTGAAACGACTATGTATTTAAATTGGATATTTGAATAATGTAGCTACAGGTAAAAAGGGGCAAAAGCTCGAGTGATGTTACGGCAATAGAAGACAGCCCCACCGGGTCAGTGGTCAACCCTATATATACCAGATCATGCCTCCTAGCTAGCTTCATAGTTTCTTTTTATTGATGAATGGGTGGCGATCACAGCGTGGTCTGATCTGAGAGTGCATGACTAGACCACTGAGAGGTGGACTCTTGAGGTCGATGGTGGATGCCTTTGAGAACCCCTATGTTCAGGGGCTTGCTTAACACAGGACTCCACCACCTGCAAGAACGGAAGCGCATCCTCGTGTCGCAACTATAGCCGACTGTGCATGATCACTCCAAACTCAAGACTGCACTGTAACAGGATGATATGCTGACATGTGGTCTCATGGTTGTAACATGATGTAGGTGGTACCTACCTTAAGGTTGGACCGCCTAAGCCTGTGGGTCCGTGTGGCTGTTTCCGGGTTGCCATGGGTGAAGTTGGTCACGGGGGCAGGAGCTCAATCAAGCCACTAACATAATTGGAAGTTACATTCGAACGCGTCTACCTCATGTGTCCTCAGCTCGTCTCTTCTGTACCATCAGGCTTCAGCCCTCTCTCTCATCAACATCCATCACCCACATCGGCGCTCCTCTCTCTGGCGTTCGCCATCCCACCCAGGCGGGCACTTCATCTTCACTTCCAATATCCGCCTTCCACGAACATTTTGCCCTTGGTTCGTACTCATGTCGTTCATTCGCGAAGAAGGGCCTCCGCCCATGGCCTTTGGAGCGCCTATTCCCATGAGGATCAAGCGCGAGGAGGCCCCGCCTCCTCCTAAGCAGGAGTTCAACTTCAACGAAGCTCCGAAGCAGCCTAACTTCAAGCACGAGGATGGCGAAGGCCGTGCCAGTCTTCACTCCATCCCCCAGTTTCAGGCCCCTGCACCGAGTGCCCTGAAGCACGAGGAATACGCCGACGAGAAGGTACCTACTACCCTACCTGCTTTCGTACTGCCATGGAGTACTAATTTTGTTAATGCAGAAGCCGCTTGCGAAGGGCCGCCGAGGCGACCGTAGTCGTCGGGGCCTTCGTCCGGCGCATCGTGCGGGTCGTCATCCAGTCCGAATCAAGATTTCCACAATCGTCGACGTCCAACTCCCGCATGGCCCAGTCTGGAGAGCCAGTTACGTCGCTAGACAGCGACGTGTTGTTGTCCATATTAACGCCCGTGTCAACTCCAAAAGCACCTTCACCCTGGATCATGACGAGCACATCCAGCGACAATCTGAATGTGCTATCCCTCTGATTGCCCGGGCACTCAACGCGCATCCGGAAGTCCCTGTCTTTCTAGAACCCCGGTCCACTATGCACCATGTGAAGGCGGTGAGCTTCGCGACCTTGAATCTCACTTAGCGATGGATAGTCGGCTAACACTGCCTTGTCAGCCGGGCGAACTGACGGGCTTTAACTGGGCGTTCGAGGTCGATGTCTACAAGAAGGAGTTCTACTGGCAAATACTGCAGGTATAGTTGCCTCGGCGTTCGAGGTCGATGTCTACAAGAAGCAGTTCTACTGGCAAACACTGCAGGTATAGTTGGCTGCCAGCATCGTGCATAGATGTTCGCTAACTTTCCCGAAGCAGCGACATACCCCTGGATTCAGTTGAGCTCCACAGTCACCGATGGAACCCAAGACACGATTTGAAGCCTGACTCGAAGCCGAATGTATGCGCGCCTCGATATGTGAAGCACTCTTCTGAACATTACGTCCCTCTACTGTCGGCACGATCCTGAGTTGGCTTGGATCGTATTCTTGTACGTATTGGCAAGACTGGATACCGCTGTCGGCCGTTGTGGCGTCTGCAGATGGATAATCACCTCAGGGCGGTGGGAGGCACATCGGTGGCTCTTTGGACGGGTGACTCGCTTCGCAAATCGAGGCTTGGCAACATGTTGCTGGTGGCGTCTTGAAAAGAAACGAAGGCCATGCGGGATACTTCAGAATCTTCATGTACAAAACTGAGGAGTAGTAATCAGAAAAAGGAGTAGCAATCAGAAATTACGACTTTTTCGCCTTTTACGGAGCAGTGCCGCTTTCACATCGTACTGGAATCGCCAGATGGTAGTATGCTGGTGCCTACTCATCATCATGGCCCCCTTTCACCGAGTCATGGTCAAGCACTAGCCCAGGGCACAGCTTTAATACTGGCATGAACACTGTGAAATTCTGTCATCAATTTGGTTCCGATATGGATCTCTGTTAACAACTTTCTTGTGACGAATCACCAAGTCTCCCCAAGCTCATCGTTCAGGTGAGCCTCCCTGGGAAAATACCTCCTCCTAATACGCAAGTACTGCAGCTGATCCCGCCCTGCCTCTTCCGCAGCCTCAACAGGGCTCCCTTCCTCCACAGAATCAGCAGCCGTCCACTCCACCTGGTCCGAAGGAGGCAGCCCGCCAGACTGCAAACTCGCATTATGCCACACCGGCAGGACATGCCTCCACCCCATCGTCTTCCAATTCCGCGCCCGCTCTTCCATAGGCAAATCAACGCCATTGTACGGCGGCAGCGCCATGGCCTCCACGGACGCCTGGTACAAGTAGCTCCCACCCCCGCCCACATAAGACTGCTCGCCGAGGTAGAAACCCTTGAGCAGGGCCCCTATCTCAACACTACTAAGCCGGTGGTCGGAGACGGCGGATCCCGTGGTGAAGTTGGGGTTCTTCCACGGCGGGCCGTAGTACGGGATCCGCCTGTTAGCCGGGCGGAGGCGCACGCAGTACTGCGCGTCGGACCGCCGGCATGCGGAGCACTTGGGCTGCTTCTCGTCGTGGTTGGCGCTGGCGAAGATCAGCGTGCATTTTAGCCCCTTCTTCTGGCAGCGGAGGCAGGGCTGGGGGTCCTGGCACATGGTCCGGCCGGTGGTGCGGTCGACCTGGGGCTCTGCCTCCTCTTCCTCTTCTTCGCCGGCCCAATCGATGCTCTCTCCGTTCCATATTACCAACACTGTGTGACCTTCTTCTATCCCATTGTATCCCTCTCCTTTATTTCCCTCTACTCCTTGCCTCGGCGGTGTCGATTGTTGGCTGTGTGTGGGTTTCAGTTCCGACTGTTCGCCCTTTTCTACACCAGGATCTTGGCCCTGTCCGACTATCGGCAGTTTCTGGAGCTTCTTGAGGTCCCGTGCTAGATTAATATCCACCGATGGCCTCGATTTCCGAGCCTTGGTGGTTTGATTGACTGGGCCCTGGGTTTCCTTGGGACCACTGGCTTCACTTGAAAGCTGTTGATATTCCGACCACATTGTGTATTCGTTGACCGGAGCGATAGATCACACGATTAACCGATCATGTAATCAGGCAATGTCTTTATTTCTTTACTTGGATTCGAAGTTTGTTCCAATGTATACTACGTGCATCCTGTATATATGCTCCGCTCGTCTTTGATGTTACTCTAAATGCGTCATACACCATAAGAAAGAGCACCGAATCCTTTGTCGGTCCAGTTGACACAAAAGGCACTTGAAAGCTCAAGTTGAAAGAATCAATTATTTAGTATTCAGCAACCAAACGACGTCTCGAACATTGAGACTGATCGCTGAATTGTCGCTGGGAATTATGATGGAGCTAGTTGGAAGCTCAATGAGTGCGCTATAGTGCCGGTGTCCCCGTTGCCCTTGCAGCTGTACGGATTGACGAAGCCGACTAATGACAAGGTGGTATATTCTTCATTGGCTTGGGTGCGTCAGGGTAATTGTCGGAATCTTCTTGGGGCGCTTGATCGGTGCTGAGCCTGCAGTATCAGGAGTCTTCTCGGGGCGCTTGGTCGGCGATGAGCCTGCAGTATCAGGGGACTGTTTGCGGCGCTTGATCGGTGATGACCCTGCAGTAGCAAAGTGCCGTGACTGTTGCGAAGCCATTGCTATCTCGCCTTCATTCGCAGCCTTCCTCTTCTTGCCTGGGCTGGCCTTGATGAGATCCAAGTCGACCACGGGAGGCGCAACGAGATGTGCTGGTCTCCACTCCTCAACTTCTCTGATACGTCTGCTGGACCCTTGCTCATCATTTTGGAGCCATGGGTGACGTTTCGCCTCATACGCTGTGATTCTGGACTGGGGGTCCACAATCATACAAGACCGAATGAAGCTTTGGCAGCTATCGCTCAACACCCCATTGAAGTACCCTCTATCGAAGAGGGCTCCAAGGAATTCGTCGATGGCTTCTTGATTGAGCTCTCTCAAGCAGGGAAGCTTTTCTTGGTCAGGGGCCAGCAGGAAGAGAATTATGGCGCCGATTGACCAGATGTCAACGGCTGTGCCGTACGACTGTCCGCGGTATATTTCTCTACACTAATATGAGCAACTCTTCTGAGAGGGAAGGAATAATCGCTCACGGTGCCATGAATATATCAGTTCCGATTCGACTGTTCATGCGACCTGAAGTGGTGTACGTGGCGAAACCGAGATCTCCCACTATGACTCGGCCCGTGACGAAGGGTCCTGCGGCGAAAAAGATACTGTAGCATTCGTGGTTAGACAAGAGTCCTCAAGGTAGTTGGCAAATGGATATAGCCTCAAGCTACCAAGAAGATGAAACGGAACAGACGGCGGCAGCTTGAGTCTCTCCGTTTCTCGCTTCGCGAAACAGGCCGGCAGGGGATGTTGACGACTTTTAAGCTGACTTACTTTTCGGGCTTTAGATCCCGATGCGCAATGCCTTTCTTGTGGAGGTATCGAATGGCGGATACAATTTGCTTGACAACAAATCTAGCGTCATTCTCTTCGAACCCGTGGTAGTATGATGAACGCATGGAGAATAAATCGCCACCAGTAGCGAGCTCCGTAAAGGTATACAGCGTATCCTTCGACTTGTAGGCAAACTCAAAATCCAGAAGATTAGGCTCACACGAGTGTTAGCTAGACTTGAATTCATGCGAAGAAACGAGGTATACCCACATGGTGTAGTTTTCCAAGGAGATCCGTTTCGTCCATGACGCGTCGAACTGAGTCTCGCCAACCGGGGCGCGTTCGCATTTGCTCGAGATTGTGGATTTTGCAAACGACTTGTTGCCCGGGTTGCACCTTGAGAGCAAGACGTACCGAACCAAAAGATCCACTGCCTAGACTTCGATTGGTAATGAAGTATCGGTCGGAGAACAGCTTCGCCCAATGATTAGCCTTGATAAACAAAGCAAATGGAAATCAGTGCACATCAAGGGCATACCTGAGTCTCATCACGTTGAAGGCTGGTAAGAGGAGACCTCAGCTCTGGTATGCCCAGTAACTCGATGTGGAACTGCCAATATGGAATAAGGCAGATGACTTCACCTCGGCTCAAGAGATGAGCAGATGCGTTGCCTAGCTCCTGGGAACCGATGCAACGTCCATTGACATAGGTGCCCGTAAGAGATCTGCAGTCTCGAACGTAAACAAGGGGCTGCACATCGCTGCCGTCCTGTTCGTAGTCAACCGCGTATATCGTGAAGGCCTTGCGCGAGACATAGGGGTGCTTGATTATAACATCACTTCAATCCAGATATAAGACCATAAGCATGAAGCATGACGACGAAGGCTTGTATACTTACTTATGGTGAGATCGTCCAACGTCGAAGGCGTCGCCGGCGCACAGGAAGAATTGGTAGGTCGAGGTCAGAGTGAGAGTCCGAGGCTTACATCCTGAATGGTCATTGACCTGGAAACCTTCTGCGCTCAATGAGACGAGTTTGGATCAGCACGATGACACAGCTAGCGGGGAGAGACGAGGTATTGGGAGATGGGGACGAGGCATACCTGGATCGAGACATTGTTCGGGCTGCACCTCAACAACTCGACAAGTTATCCGAGCTACTGGACGATAGGCCGACATCGTGGACATTCGATGCACCGTGTAGATGTTGCTGAAATCAGTATTGAGTCGATCAGATGGGCCGTCTCTCGGTTGACGACGGTGGCGGCAGGATATGGTATGGGAATACAAAACTAGGTATGAAGGTAGTAGGGTGTCAACCTCAGGTGCCTAGGCAGGTTTAAGGTAGACACACCCTTGCGGCAGGAAGATGGAGGACCGGCTGGGGATGAGGTCAATGAATGCGAGCTGGAGCTGGGTGAATTTTGAAACTGGTTGAGGCCAATGGAAGTACTGCCGAGGAGAAGAGTGTGGCATGCAATTATTGAATTCCACTCAAATTCACTTCAAACTCGCAACAACCTCAGGCAGTCGCGGATTGCGCCGTGGCAGGCTGGGCGTACTTGCCCAAGAGAAATGCGCCCACACCACTTGATACAAAATGATTATCATTAGATATTGGTACCTTAGCTTAGCTCAACTTACCACAAGTTCACCGAAGCTTCTTGCACCGGTGATGCCTACCTACCCATCCGCCTTTGGCAGAGCTGTCCTGACGGGAGTTGCAGGCACGTCGTCAACCTCAAGATTGTGCCTCCCTTCGCGTTTCGCGTCCAAGTACTCGTTATACGTATTTATGGTATAAAAGGTACTTCGTGTACAACACGTCCCCGCGTGCCCCGCAATCTGCGTTGATTGGTCGCTGAGATTATCGTCACAGCCAGTGCCAACCAGCCAGCCAGCTGGCGCTCCGGTGGATACGTCACTGCGGCTGCTCGAGGATTGTGCCCCGCTTTATTTCGACAGCCGAGGAGAAGCCGGTCACAGCCCTAACGAAAATCGAGACCTACTTCAATTCACCCGCGCTCCCAAAATTCGGTTCATCCTCTCAACATCACCATCAAGCATATCTCATCGACAGCAACTTGTAAGTTCAACCCGACCTCCAATCCAACCTGCATCGCGCAATCAAGCTTGAGAAAGCCTGTCTTTGTCTCCCTTGCAACCATTGATCCAGTGCGCGCATCCCTTGATCGCGCAGCTTCTCGTCGCTCGCACCTAGGGCCTCGAGCAAGCTGCACCCCTCCCCCGCCTTACACAGCACCCAGCCTGGCAGCCCTTACCACCACCTCAACCACAACCGTCCTTGCCTGCTAACACCATCTCGTCACAGTCGCCAAGATGAGAGCTAAGTGGAGAAAGAAGAGAGTTCGTCGCCTCAAGCGTAAGAGAAGAAAGATGAGAGCCAGATCGTATGTCAATTCGCCAATTCCCACCTCTACGAGCAATATCTAACTGGGAGCTTCCCTCAACAGCAAGTAAACGCATCACACCTGCTCGATCACAGCGCGTCCTCACCTGAGCTCGTCGCCTCATCATGACAACCACCGACAAATCATCACATCCGCATCCAGCACACGATACTAAGAATGGCCTTCCAACTCCACGACCACATCACACTCGACGTGACGGCGATCAGGCGGTATGGAACGAATCGAGGAAAGAAGGGCTGAACCTGTGGGAGGATTTGACAATATGATGAAGTCTGGCTCATCATGGGGGAGGGCGGTTGGTCAATTGCCATCGAGTGGATCATGAGTTGTGTTTATACGACACCGGGCTTCTAGCAACCTCTATGATGGTCCATGATCTTTGCACCAACGAAAAAACAGGGAGCATTTTGCTAGACAGATGAATGGCATACGATGATCCCACAACCTTCGTGTCGACTCGTAGATACATAACGGTGCAATGCTGACTTTCATGATATGACGCAATCCTCCCGTCGGCGTGCCACCATTCCAGAACCTTATGTCCAAATATTGCGGGTTTGGCTACACCGTCCAGCTGGGGTACCGTCCGCTCAGCGCCGTGAGACCATAGCTGCCCGACTACATGTAGCAAGCTTTGGCCTAGTCCCTTTGCTGGAAGTTGTATCAGCGCGCGCCCCAGCAATGGTGCTCAACGTCCAGATGGCGAGCCCGCCTCTACTAGGTAGGTAGGCTAGGGCTGTTTGAGACCGATTCGCATGCTGCATGGAATATACTGACTATCCCCTCTTCTTTAAGTTCCATAGACTTCACATACGAGACAAGGGCTTTACTTTTCGTTGAGACATAGGATGTCGAGTTCGTCTCTCCCCCAGCGGTTGGAGTCCTTGATCATGTCAAGAAACAAGTTATATTCAAGATACTTTGAGGACTCAATTCCTCTAGTCTTCACACATCAATCACCATCGTTGGGTACATCCACTACAAGTCCATATTCCATCTAGAATGATGTGCTCGACGCCGATGACGACGATGACGATCTATACCCAAATACAGGTCAATATAGCATACCCCCCGCCCAGAGCCGCAACACACTGTCTACTTCCATCAGCGCAGCCTGAAGTAAAAAGCTGCATTCACATGCCCCATGACTGTTTGATGAAGTAATTATGCTCCCTGCCCCTCAGGGTTTGTGTTTGTCGCCGCCCGAGCCACGCACTGCAATCTTGCTACGAGTACGAAAAAAGGGCCTCACGCCAACAAGCTGGTAGTAATGACCAGCAAGGAAACAACGGGCGCGGTCACCAGAGTCGAAGTCTAAACACAAGCAGCGTCATAGATACTGGCTTGTAGTTCATGGCTACCCGCGCAGGGTCACGCAAGCCAGCCCGGCCATGGCGTGCGTATAAGTGTGGCCTGCACCGCGGAGAGCTGCAAATTACTGAACATATTCAGAGCTGTCATTTGCTGAAGACACAAAGTCCATTCATCTTCTATGTATAAGGGGACGATCCTAATCGACGACCGTCGTTCAGAGGCCTATGTCCACACCCCGTAGAGATCAGGTATCATCCATCCGTCCAATATACATAAAGTAAAATCGATCGAACGCCTAATAACGCCACCGAAGTCCCATAGCCGTGACCGTGACCGTGACCGTGACCGTGACCGTAACCGTAACCGTACCCATACCCATACCCATCCCAGCGTAGTTGAACCCGACATCGCAGTCTGGCCACCAGCCGCCAGCCGCAAGGCGCTCCTCCACCCAGAGAGGTATCCCGAATGGCGCCCCAATCAACCAACCGTCGCAACCGATAAGCTTTGGTACTGTTGGTTCGCTCCAACTTGCCCGAGTGGTACAGATCTCCGACCGACTGACTGGCCGACTAGTACTTAATAATAGTCGTAGCTATCACAGCAGCAGACGTCACAGCAGCAACTCCAAGCCTTGAAGCAGCAGAACGCCGTGGCGGCGCCAAGACATATCCTCTGGTACGCGGCACCCCAAAGTCAGTCAACCTCATTCCCAATAACTTCTTCCAAGAACTAGTAACAGAGAACTGATTGTATGAAACTTACCCCCAAACCGCCTCCCCGAAGTTTCGTCTGTTCCTCGCCCAGCTGCTGGTCTTGGTCTTGGTCTGGCCGGCCGCTCCCAGTAGTCCGCGGCAGGTCCGCGCTCATGCGCGCCGCCGGCGCCGGGCACTGCATGACGGGGGCGGGCCTCTGCGGCAGCAGGTCCACCGCCGGCGTGCTCGTTCCGGGAGTGTTCGAAGATGATGGCATCTTTCGATAAGGCTAATAATGGCAGCAGCAGAAGAGGAGGACGAGAAATAGGCTATACGTATTGGTCGCTTGCCTAAAGCAAGTTCGGCTGGTTGGTATGGGCGGAAAGACAGCCATTTTTGAGAATATCATGCAATGAATCCTCTGATGTCATTGCTTGACAGCTGGCTTGATGCTGAAACGGCCTGGTTAGCTATTGGCGAGGATGGCCCTGGGATCTCGTGGGATCTCACAAAATCTCACCCCAATCCTTCAGGAGGGAATGGGAGCCGGCTTCCTTCGGATTCCGACTACTAATCTATTCTTAAACATAATGATGAACGTGCGTCCCCTGGTGTCGATTTGAAACACGTTACTCTACCACTAAGCCTCATCATGAAGGGACCGACCTCCGAAATGTCACATTTTCCCTTCTACTAGGACGCCTCACCAGGTAGTTGAAGACGGCACGCAAATGGCTGAATAGAAATCCGCATAAGCACTTGGACTAAGGGATCAATCTTGCGTGGATTGATTGTAATAAGCAATGAATGACTACTTGCTTAAGTATACAGTACCGTGGAAGCGATTTCGTCAATGGTCTGCGTCGTCCCTTGCGACCAAGCTCAACGACGATTAGACACATATCTGACCTTGGGAAATTCCAGTGGTAGTGCAAGTACCGCTATCTGGACCTTTGTCCCCCTCTTCACCTTGCCGCCGATCTCTTTGAAGTACTGCATGAACTGCTTCTCGTCCAATTGCAGGTCATGCCTGAGCAGGCTCGTTTCGAACTCGAAATTGCATAATACCGCCGCAAGCGCGCAACAATATGTATACACGAGATCGATGTGAAACTTCCGCATCTCTCCGCCCAACGAGAATTTCCGCCGTATATTCTCGACGACTACCTCTGGGGCTGGGTCCAGGAGTAGCTTCAGCTTGTCTTTGGGCGGTAGCGTCTTCGTGCCTCTAGTTTTACCTGGCCTGCCACTCTTCAAGAGCTTTATAAGGTAGTCCAGATATCTGAGCGCACGTAGTCGATGGGTGGGGTTGGGACCTTCTCCAACAGGAATGATCCGAGACGCGATGAAAGCATTCGGCATGCTTACGTTCTGGTGCTTTTTCACTGCCTCTTGCCACTCCTTGATGGGGATGGACGTCAAGATCTCGCCCCCAATCAAGGATTCGAGTGTGTAGACGTCCTGAATCTCCTCGGCATCGAAGTTGCCTGGAGGTACCGGTTTCGCTGCATCGGCCGCCGCTTGAAGGTCCTCCTTTGAAGCCATGTTGACCGTGACTTCGTTGATTGAGTCCATCATAGCTTGAGAAGAGGCATTGAGCTTTTTCGGGTTCGCGACGGCGTCGGATACGGCTTTTGCAGGCGCAATCGCGTTCTCTGTGATCGCAGCGAGTGCCTTCTTAGCCTTCTTCGTTCCGAATGCATGACCAAGATCGGTCCGAAGCTGGAACATCGTCTGCGTAATCGTTAGGTCCGTATAAATGCATAAATGGGGTAGTATAGGCACCTTGGAAGCGTCCCGCTCGCTCGCAGCCTCTTCAGGTGGCTGTTGTGATCGGACCACACCTCTGATGGCCATTTTCTTGGCCTCCACGACGGAGAGTTGACCAGTCTTTGGGTCGAAGACTCCGATGTAGTGCTTGAGGTGAGACTCACGGCCCCCAGGACCCTCTTCCTTGACGGTGTAGTCCATTCTAGGATGTGACGACGAATGCAGCACCAGATCTGGGGAGGGCGGCGCGGGCTTTCTACTTCGTTTGGACGACTTCGGAGCTGGGAGTTGCGGTTTGCTGTAGGCCTGGAAATCGATGGAGCTCGGGATGCAAAGGCCAGAATGTGTTGCTAGGGATGTATGTGAGCGGTGACGACCAAAAACTGGGGTCTTGCGACTGAGGTCGGCTTACCGATCACTGGAGGGCAATCGTTTGCTGTCTGTACCAAGGAGACCTTGAGGATGCTCGGCGGGTTCGCAGGACTGGACGATGATGGTGGTGTCGCCTGGATAGCCACCTTCTTCTTGGGGCGCTGAGAGCCATCGTCTTCCCGTTTCCTCTTGTGCTCTTTGCTGCGCCCCATGGTTGTCTGTCGCGTACAGTGAGTGAGGCGGAAGGATAAAAAAAATGGCTGCATCTGCCATTAATTGATGGATTGGACCCCGAAGCGGCAGGCGGTGAAAGGACCCCACCTCTCCATGTGCCAAACGGCCAAATAAAAAACGGCCTGCATCATGGATGGGATTGGGCGGTTATTGTGGGGCGGACTGAGTTCAATAACCACTGAATCGCTGCTTAATTCCACACTTCACACTACCTACCCACAAACTACCTCATCGGTAGTGGTGGCGGTGGTGGTATCGATGCTGCTGACGATGGTTGATGGGATACCGGTAGAGGCGATGCTCTCGTTGGTAGAGTACTCACGCGTTCCGTCATGGCTTTATGGGCCAATCTTGTCTTGCGCTGTCCTCTATACTGGGAATAAAGAAGGACACAGGTCACGGACCACGGTGTCACTCGAGCAGGCAAGAACTCCACGCTGTCATCAATGGAGACATCGCGCTGCATGGCGTAGTCAAGACAGCCCAACGGCAGCCGAGTCGTGATACCACCGCCGAAGCGGTCCCCGTTTTCAATCGTGGACACCGGGCTGCTGACAGAAGTGGTGCAGGTAGAGCGATTTGACACGTGCGGCTGGGTACAAGAAGCAGAACACCGTAGTCCTGGATACACGTGTCGCCGAGACATGGGGCGGCTCTCTTCTCGCCTTCCTTCTCGCCTTCTTACGGAGTGGACTTCGCACATCGTGAGAACCGCCTGCTCGGGGCCGTGTGGATCGAGTGGAGACAGATTGACGGACCCGACGCCGGCGAGTGTATCCGGAGACATTCGGTATGATTGGTTACCTGTGCTGTATGCATAGAGACAGTCAAGGGGTAATGCAGCAGTCTGACTCTCTGGGTGCTTGGAGTTGCAGTCTGACACGACTGTCGTATATCGTGGTGTGCTACTTCATTGGGGCACGCGGCGCCAACACGCTCGGCGATGCTCCCGAGGTCGCTTGTACCTGGGAGCTACCTAGTAATAGTCAGCCCGGGCTCCGGGGATCCACTGTAAGCAAGAGCGGCTTGATTACGCCCGAGATTACGTCCCCGGGTCATTGCCGGGTCATCAAGACTTGCTCGACGGCATAACATTCCAGCGGGCATGTCTCAGGCACCAACTTCCAAGCACACACAACTTCTGAATCTTTTCAAGATGGGCATAAGACTAAAGCTTCCTACCACTCAGTTCTCCGTCCAGACTCCAGGATCAGGTATCATCAGACGATTGCAGCCAAAATGAACGAGAAGCGTGAATTCCCCATCGAGCCCAAAGTCGCCGCGTTTGTGCTGGGGACCTTCATCCCCTCACAGCTCTTCGTGACGCCCAAGCCCCTAAATATATATTTTACCGATCAGACCGTCATAGTCACAGGCGCCAACTCAGGACTCGGACTCGAAGCTTCGCGCCAATTCTTCCAATCTGGCTGTGCCAGGCTCATCCTCGCTGTCCGGACCCTTCGAAGGGCGAGGCCGCCAAGGAGGACATCATCCAAAGCGTCAAGGGTCGCCGCGACGGCGCGACCGCCATCGAGGTATGGACCCTGGACGTCAGCAATTCGCAGTCGACGCTCGACTTCGCGACGCGCGTCACGAACGAGCTACCCCGCGTTGATGTGCTCCTCGGGAACGCCGGAGTCAACCTCCACGGAGAGTGCCAGGTCGCCGAGGGCATTGAGATGACCATGCAGATCAACGTCCTCAACACATTCCTGCTCGCCCTGGTCCTGCTTCCCAAGCTGCGAGAGACCAAAGCCAAGTTCCCGGCCTCGGTGCCGCATCTGGTCATTGTAAGCTCCGACACCCACCGCCTGACCAAGTTCAACGAGATCAACGCGCCTAATCTGTACGAGGCATTCGCCGACAAGAGTACATACACCGGCCAGGCGAGGTGAGCATCCCGCAAATCATCCCCTTTCGTTCTCATGGGGCATGGGTCGTTTTCCATCCCTTGTCTTAATCCCCGCCGAGCCAAAATACTAATGTTCGAAATAATGTGACCAGATATCAAGACAGCAAGCTGATACAGGTGCTCCTCATGCGGGAGATCGTCGCTCGCCTCAAGGCCAGCGACCCGTCTGGCTCGCCATCCCCAATAGTCTTCAACCTCGTGACCCCCGGCCTCGTGATCTCCAACCTCGAGCGCAACCTGGGCAAACCGCGCCTCGCCACCCGCATCGCGCATAAGGTATTCTACCGCACGACCGAGGTCGGCGCGCGGACACTGGTGCATGCGGCGTCCGCCGGGCCGGACACGCACGGCGGCTACCTCCTCGACTACAAGAATGTGCCGGTCGAGTCGTGGATAGACACCGATATGGGCAAGAAGGCGCAGCTGAAAACCTACGAGCAGACGATGAAGATTCTGGACGGTAGAAGGCAGGGCATTGCTGCCCACGCTGGCTTGTAATATACGTTCTGACTACTTGCTTCGGTGTTGGCTTGGGGTAGGCTTGTTGGTTCACATACGGCGCACCACAGGTGCAACTTGGAAAAAACCCAAATCTAAGTGATACACCTACCTCCCTACGATTATGTAGGAAAGGGATTTTCTTCTTACACATAATAATAAATTAAAGCTATACTGTTCAATACACGACGAGAAATAACCAGCGTATAAAGTTCTATTGATAATTAAACATGGTTTTAAATCGAAATAATTCGTAATATATCTTTCTGACTAATGCATCTTATAAGTCGATGAGACCATTAGTGTTTAAAATTGTACCGATGCTTTGTGCCGGGGCGCAGAAAAGCCCAGCGTTCTCCTTGCATATCGTGTTCCTGGAGGTAGGCAAGCTACATCACGCAACAGAAATGTGAAAGAGACTGTTGATACTTCGAACCCAAACTTTAGCTCGTAGCTCACTCGCCTATCCATATTGTCACAATTGGTTGTTGATAGTGGGGCGTAAAGGCACTTTTTTAGATCGCTTCACTTCCGCGAATCTGTTTGAGTTACCCGTTTAGAGTTCAAGTTGGTTGATGAGACTGATTATTATCTCTGATACATAGTGTACATATACCCTACAATGTTTCAGCCCACGAAGAGGTCCACTCGCTCTGGGTGATGTAACCCCTATTGCACGAGCTGGAAGTTAGCCCTATCAACACCGTACCGTGCCGTGATGAAATGTCCATTGAGCCGTGCGTATAGGAACCACAACTTCGAGCCCGGTCGGCCGTGCGGAGTGTCGAGGTTCAGATGACCCTTGCCGAACAAAGGGCTTCCTGGGCCGGGGCGGAATTTCCACGTAGAACCCCAGACCATCTCAGCCGAAAAGCCCATCTTCACGAAAAGTCTCGGCACGTCCATCCAGTCAATTTGCCCCGCAAGGTCCTTGGCATCTTCGGTGTAGAACAGAAAAGCTACTGTGTCCATGCCCCTCTAGGTAACTTGGAAGATTACCAGTGCCGGAACCCCGGCAGCAGCAGCAGCCACTTGTGGAGCATTGTCGTCTTGCGCGCGGTTGTCGGGCTTCCCTCGTGTTTTCTCCTTCTCTTCCTTGTCTGGCAGGTAGTCCCATCCTGTTCTCGAACTGGCCTGTTCGAGTTTCAAGTTGGAGAAAGGATTTAAGAGCTCGGTCTTGTTTGTAGCTGCAATCTCCAAAGCTGACTTTTCGAGCTGTACTTGAGAGAACTCGACGATAGGTGCGGTACGTGAGAAAGTATGGCAATTCCATGTGCTGTTCGTGTGCGCCGGAAGGGCACCATTTGACGTCTTCAAGGCCTGCTATACTATGTTCCAGAAGCTATCCAATCCCTTCTCGACCCGAATCATTCGTTCAGTCGTGGTTTTCGTTCGGGGAAGGTTCTCAGGGTAGTGCAGGTTGCCTCTCACTGGACGCCCAAGCTCTGTGGCTTCCTTACCCAATGTCACTTTGCCGCGCCGAAGGGCCCGAACAGACCGCAAGTCTAGCTTCATATGGCGGTTGCAGCTGTCTCCCAAGGGCTTGCAGGTGCTCGGGTCGTTGAGCTCTAAATTGAATCGGCCTGACCCACGAATGTTATGGTAGAAAGGTTGAGGAACGCAGGATCTTTCCAGTTGTTCCCAGTCGTTGCGTCGAACGGCTGCCTCATACGTGGATGATATGAGTGGTAAAGTACTGATGTGTTAAAAATCGCGTTAAGGCCTTATAAAATGGGAAAGAAAGTCGCATTACTCAATAGAAAGTCCTCGTAGAAAAGGCAACGCATGTGCCTAACAACTTTTCAAATATATAAAGACTGCTTCTCGTTTAACCTACTTGATCTGTCTGGTGTATCACTTTAGTAGGCAGATCTACATTTTTATATAATGCCTCACACCTCGGGCGCATAGAGGACAGGCTTGGGTTGAGAAAGGGAAAATGGCAGTATTACTCCTTTGGCTGGGTACCATTGTCTGATTATGCAATCAAAACCAGTTGCCTAGTAACGAGCCATGAAATTGCTGTACGTTTGGCACTTTCGCCTGGCCAACTCCTATATGGAATGCATCGGTAAAAGTCAATGCTACCACGTGAGTATGGTAAGCAGAGCTCCTGCGCTGTACACATGTTACAAAGCTAAGGAGGCTACAGATTGGTATGCCCTTGAAAGTAGGCAAGTTTTTGTTCATGGTGAGCTTGCTTCTACGCCCTTTCCAAACGATTTCAGACCTGAGTAACTCAACACTCCAAGTTGGGTAGGATCGGGACGTCTCGTGTCTCCGCTGCAATAGCAGAGACGGAGCGACAAGTTGAGGTTATATATTACTTCGTATCCTTCCGCATAAGATCGAAACGCCGCATTGAATGCCGCGATTGCTACCTCTTCATCACTTGAATGGCCATCTTAGCAAGAACAACCTGGCCATCGTGGTGGTCCACCTCCACGATCTGTTGTTGGTCCCACCAGGAGGAAGAACTGGTACAGGCAAGGTAGCAGAATTGTTGGTGTCGCGGTTGCGACAGACAGTGACTCGTTTGTGACTGTCCCGTTCGAAGGTAGTGAGTACATAGGCATCGACTCTACGGCAACCATAAACACACCTAGAAGAGTCACCGTCTTACTGTCATCTTTGCCGTGTTGGACCAGTAGCTACCTTGGCGCGCAACAAACTCGGTATCAGTCGGGAGGGGCACCTGCAGCCCGGCCTTCTCGAGTGCCTCGGCGGCAAGGCACGAGTCCTCGCGAGTGACAGCTGGCATGGCTGGAGAATGTTAGCAGCAATAGGAATCTGTGTGGTCAACGGGGGATACGAAGTTGCAGTTACTGCAGAAAGGGGGTTATGGGCTAGTAGAACCTCCCCTGATGGTGAGGCCGACGGGAATAAAGCATGGGAACAAGGAGGCAAGTACAAGCTTGCCGGCGATGAACTGCTTCGGTGGGCTTCGCAGCGATCACGAGATGACTGCATACGTGTCGTGGAATCTAGGCTGCGACTAGGGTTCTTGGCAGCAAAAGAGGGTCAAGACAGCTTAATTTTATGCCCCGTTCACAATTGAAATGCCATGCAATCTTGCAGTGTAAGCAGGTTGCGTAGGAGGAGAAATGCAGCTATTTCGACTTCAAGCCCAAGTCAAGTGCGGAAAACTCACAGAAACAGTAACTAATCAGGTGAAGATATCATTCACATAGACTGGATCCTATATGTAGCTGGGATGGCATGAGTCGCGGTGTCTGTGCTCTCGAACGTTCTTGATGCAAAGTCTTAGTGAACGGGAACCCATATAGTCTATTATCGAGACCTCCCTAACTCGTACCAGGCAGCCCATCATTCTGACGTTGACTTCTAGCTTTATAGTGCACGTTGGCACCGAATTCTAACAGGAGCTGTAGACCAGCTTCGAAATCCATGTCTACGGCCATGTGCAACGGGGTCCTCCCGCTGTCGTCGTATCCGTCTATCGTTGCCAGATCGCCAGCGGCGTGATCCAGCAGGAGCTTCAACAGTGTCTCGCGGCGATGCACCACGGCCCAGTGGAGGGCCGAGCGGTGTTCGTTATCCACGTTCCCGATGCGTGCCCCGTGTGTCAGCAACAAGCTCACCACTTCCTTGTGGCCCCCGATGGTAGCGTGTATCAGGGGTGTTTTCCCATCGCTATCCTTGACATTGCCCTCTGCATTGTGCTGCAGTAACGCGCGGGCGACTCTGTCATGGCCCTTTTGCGCGGCGATGTGCAGGGCGCTCACCCAGCCTGCTTGTCCTTCTGAGTCAACGCCGCTATCGGTGGGCATGGACTCTTTACACCCGAGCCTGCTCAGGAACATCTCCACCAAGTCGTCCCTCGTCCCGTGCATCTGTATAGCGCTCATATCCAAGTTGTCCATGTTTGCAAATGAGATGTTGTCAAGGAGCGCGAGGCTCCCGTACGCGCTCAAATCGCACAGGCTCCGGCCGGCAGCGGGGCTACTAACGGACCTCGGAGTCGTCGCCGGCGGTGGGAACTCCGGGGTCGGGTCATGGCTCAGGGGGAGTTTCACCTCGTAGTGGAGCTCGGTAATCTCGTGGTGGCTCGAAGTCGGAGGCGCATTCGCCTGGGCTTGCTCAGCGGCTTTCTGCTGCTGCTTCTCTGTCACCGCGGGGAGTATTTAGTTGCCGGTCCTGCTCCAAGACTTGAAGACACACAAATGCTGGCGGGATACTAACGACGAAACCGGCGCTGTGCGATGCGATTCTGCAGCCGGCGACGCTCCATTTGGAGAATGTGCCGGGTTGGTGGAGGACTACCTTGGCTCTGGTCTGTGGTCTGTGGTGAATAGTGTCGACTACCTACCTTACTGTTTCTGTCTTGCGTCTTGTCAATGTCATGCTTTAGTCAGCGCCCGTACGCAGACAGGGGGGACAGACAGACAGAGGGCAGTGTAAACGGGCAACGACGTAAAATGGAATAACAGCGGCAGAGACTTGTCCTAATCGGGCAGGCGTGTCTGGTCCTTTTCACCACTAACGTTAATAAGGAAGTATATTTCAAACTCGCTTAACTAAAATGAGCGGGGGAACCATGGCCGCAAGGGACAGTTCCCTCACGCAGCAGCCGCAGCCGCATGCTCGCGAACCCAGGAAGTTGGGTTGTCGCGTTTTCTAAGGACCACTGTTTGCATTATACGGGTTTGGAAGAAGTAAGTGCGAACAGCAGTCAATATAAATACCCTGGGAGACGCAGACATCAGACGGAGATCCACCACTAGATGCGTCATGGCCGACGCGGCGACAAGGGCCGAGATGGGTCGCAACGGATATGAACTTATGAAGTTCTGAACATCGAAAGAGGATAATAATAATAAGTCCCAACGAGGCCACGTGGTTGACATTGCAATCTTCTTCCAACTTTGCCGTATTTACTATGTCATCCAGGACCACCTGCATCCTTCACACCAGGAATCACCAATCTCACCACGCGTCTCCCATTCCTGCCTGGTAATAATCCCCTTCCAGGCACCTGGGCTCATTCAGGATTTTCTCTTAAGGTCCACTACTTCGTACTCGGTGCGTCTATGAAAACACCACGCAGTCTTTACCAGCTAAGCTTTTTCATTTCACGCCGTCGCTGCCACAGCCAAGCTGACCTTCTTCGACCGTAACGCAACCTTTTCCGCCAAGGCGTGTACCGTCTGGTTGGCCAGGATCTCGGACGACTGCAAGGGCGCGTCGAACTGCCGCATCGCCCAGTTGCGCAGCTCCACTGCCACCAGAGAGTCTAAACCGAGCGCCATGATCGAACCCTGCCGCGGGTCGATCGTGCCTGGCTCGACCGAAATCAGCCGGGCCAGCTGCACCGCCATGGACGTCGCGATGAAGCTGGCCACGGCCGCCAGGTCGCCATCGGCGACGACCTGGTCGAACGTCGGTCCTTGTGCCTTATCGGCAGCGTCGGCGCCCTTTTCTTTTGTCGCTTGCCGTCGCGTGGCGTGGCGCACCTGGTTGAACAGTGCCGAGCGTGTGTTACCGTTGAGCGCTGTCGCGCCGGCAAGAGATTCGACGTCGAAGCCGATGACGAGTTGGCGGAAGGCGTCGAAGCCAGGGTCTAAGGCCACACTGAGGACGTATTCGAAGAAGCGTGCCAGCTCGTCGCCCCGAAGGGCGGTGGCACCCGCCTGTCGCAAACCCTGCTTGCGCGCGCTGCTGTCCTTCGTTTGGACCGCGTCCTCGATCCAGCCAATATCGACTGATAGGATACGCGTCGGGCTCGACTTCGTTATGTGCGCCAGTGCGCCCTGCGTCACATTGCCAGCGTTGTAGCTGGCCAGGCCGCCAGCGCCCAGAATGCCTGCTGTTGATGATAACGAAAGGAAGAAACAGAGGTGAGGGGACGAGAACACGCGGAGCAGGGCGAGCGTCCCGGCTACCTTTCCCTTGGTGGCGCCTGTGAACTCTTCGTGCGTCATCATTTCAAGAAGTCGATCCTAGGCACAACAGTCAGCAGCAATACACAGAAGTTGACGGAGCCCAAATTGACGGCAGCCTACATTCCAGACGACCGCACTCTGAATTACGGCACGCACTGAAGGTGCTCCCTGGCGCTTAAGGCCGTCAGCTGCGGCCTGGACGCTTTGCTCCGATGAGACGTCGCACTGCAGAGTATACAGGTGCAGGCCTGGTCGGAATGCCTCAAGCTTGGCCTGAAGTTCGTCATGGGTATGGCGGTTGATCACTCGACGTGACAGGATAGCTAGATGTTTAGCACCGCGCCGCGCCATCTTCAACAAGAGACGCTGCCCCAGGTCCCCAAGCCCACCTGAGACGACATACGTGGCATTCTCATCATCCCAGGAAGAGCCCGTGGCTTTCTTGACGACGTCAACTGTCGAATCTGGATCGGCTTGGAGCGCCGCCTTTGCATGTACGCCCGTGTTGATCAACCGCAACATCTCGGTCGCTTCGGCCACATTATGCACAGCCGATTCCAGCCCAGAAAGCGGGATATGCTCTAATGTGGCCACTGCTGCGGCAATCAAAGTCGGTTTCAGGTCTGGCTGGGCTAAGAGTAGCCCCTCGATGTCGACCAAATGGATAGCCACATTTAGTGCAAGGTTTTTGGCCGCCGCGGGCACGTGGAGGGAACGACCCAAGACGATGAGCTTGCCAAATGGCTTGATGAGTCCCAAAGCTTCATTGGGGATACCATTCTCGCTGCCGCTGTCCGCATGGATGATGGCATCCACCCCATGCACGAACAAGTCGCTCGGCAGTCGACGGTGGAGAGAACGGCGGCTTATAAGCACGTCCGCCTCCCCAATACTAAGTTGCTCATCCAGCATTTGGGCTTCCGTCGAGTCCGCAGCAGTAGTTGTGACACGGAAGCCACGCAACCGGGCGAGTGCGACGACGGCTCGACCAGCGGCGGAGAGGGTTCCGTGGACCAAAATCGTGCTTTGCTCGGAGGAGGGTATGCTCTGCAAGACATATGACGCAGCCATAGCATCAAGTAGCAGAGCAGCAACGACGGTAGGCGGTAATTGGGATGGTAAGATCCCGGCATGAGCTGCTGTGATGCGCAACACGCTGGCGCCTACAACGGGAGCCAGGGCAACAACACTGTCTCCTGGGACAAGCGACTTGACGCCGGCGCCAACCTCTGCAACCACTCCTACATATTCACCCAGGTGGCCATTGCCAGCCATTCTCGACCCGGCGTTCGGAAGTGCCATAGCTCGCACCTGTACTTCGATGTCTTGACTGCCCAGCGGTGTGGCGCGGACCTCATAGTCAACGAAAAGGCCAGAACTGCCGGGTGACAAAATGACGGGGCGCCGGTCATCAGCAAATAGACGCGGCTCTGTCTCGGGGCCAGAACCATCGTCGCTCGTCGCCACAGCGCTGTTCAGCTTCTCGTGGTGACGCAAGCGCGGAGTCAGGACAGCGCCGTCAGGACTCACGCGTTATTCGCGCTCGCTGTGGGCTGTTTCCACATCCGCGACCCGACCGACCGCGTCCACGACCACGTCAATCAACCGGCTGCGCGAGGGGCCAGCGGTCATGTCCGCAAGCGGACCGGCCGAGGCGTGCACCGTGACGAGGCGGAGCTCGCCGTGACGAGGCGTGGGCTCTGCGCGAGACCCCGGAAATTTGGTGGAAAGCAACTGCGTCGTCAGGGGCGAGCCATACCACACGAGCCTGGGGCAGTCCCAACAAGGCTGCGGCAGGGGCAAATGTTCGAGCATCGCTGAGGATAGGCAGGTCGGCCTGGTCGTCAACTACCAAAACCACGTCATCAATGCTGTCAACACCCCGGCCGTTTCTGAGGGCCTCGACGGTGCTGGTTCCGAGGGCATGGATCGATGCTGTGATGTTCTGGCCGCGCAGCCTGTTCTGGATTGCTGAGGCCCAGGCTGCTTTGGCATGCTGCGTCGGGTCAGAGTGGGTGAGGATGTGGACCCTGGCCGGCATGCGAGCAGCAGCAGCAGCAGGCTTTGCCACCACAACTGTCCTGTCTCGAGCCTCGTCGTGGAAGCGGAGTTGCTGCTGTAGCATGACGGGCGTCTCCGGTACTTCTGTCGCAGCTTTGGAGTCCCGCGCACCTAACACGAGCACAATGTGGCCCTCGGCCTTCACCAGCACCGACGCCTGGGCGAGCCATCTCGGAGACACGGCCAGCACCACGTCATACTTGGAAGACTCGAACCCACGAGCGGCTGCGTCGTCTGTGCTATACTGAGGCCGTAGCGTACGGAGCTGGAGTGCGAAGCCCCTGTTCTGAAAACGTCCCGCCGCGTCGTCAAACCGGCTCGGCGTCGCGTCTACGAAGTCATGCGATACGACGGCGTGATCATGAGATTCGATGGTATCCAGCAGCTCGGCTGTCAAGTCCACGCCACAGCCAAGGCCGATAGTAGTGAGGCCATGGCGTTTCGAGGCGATGGTGCCAAATACATCAAGTAACGACGCCTTCTCTGGTAGGTCTGCGGCTCTTAGGTAGTCCATGTCGGGCTTCCAGTTGAGCTCATAGCATACAGCTCGTCCGCCTGGGCTCTCCGCCGAAGATCTGTGGACTGCCAGGCTGCGAACCTCCATGCCCGACACGGAAAGCACGCGCTGCCCACTGGCCAAAACAGTGGCATTAGCAACGGCAGTGCGGAAGTGGCTCGATGTCAGGCTTGTTCAGACTTCGAGTTTAGACTTGGGCTCTTGGAGAGAAGGCTTCGCGGCGACTAGTAGCTCGTCAATGTGCACTGGCATAACAGAACCTGGACCAAGTCGTCTGCTGACGAGCGGCAAAACCGTATGTAAGATGATGTCGAGGGTGGATGGGTGGATTATGTGCGCACGCTGGTGCTGATAGGGCATGGAAACCTGCACGTCGGGCACGTCGAATGAAGCCGAAGCCACAGACGCATCAGGGGCTATAGAAATGGAGTCCAGCCCAGCAAACGTTGGCCCGTATGCATTACCCAAGGTCTCCAGGTCGGCATACAGCGCTTCTTTGTGGATCGTCTCGCTGCCTGGTGGGAGCTCTGGCAACGATTCTTTTCGAGGCTTTGGACTGGCACTAATATCCTCAGCACTAGCTGCCAAAATTCCGTCGATGACACCAGTGGCATGCTCATACCACTGGCCGCTGTCGGTCAGTGCCGTGACAGCGAATTGGAAGCCAAGGTCGGATAAACCGCCCGGTACTGGTTTCAGACTCAGCTGTGTCTCGACACGTTGCGACGGCAGGTCGGGCACGACCAAACCTCGCTTGAACGAAACATCAGACAGCGCAAAGGTCTCGAGAGCCCGGGCCGGAAAACGCTGGCGGGCGAGCTGCGCTATGGCCTCGATAGCCATGCACACGTAACCCGCTCCGGGGAAGACGGCTAAGCCATCGACGACGTGATCTGCCAGCCACGGCAGTGTCCCCAGGCTGAGGAAGTGACGCCACCTAGGCTCTATATCTGTAGCGTCGGGGACAAGCACGCCCACAAGGTCGTGGTATGGCTCTTCGCGGAAGTGATACGCACGCGCCGCGCGTGACTCGTGCCAGTGCTTTACTGAATGATCCCATGGGTAGGCGGGGAGATCGTGTCGCACCATGGCTGTGTCGGTGCCAGGGGTCAGTGAAGATACGACTTGCCAGTTGATGGATATGCCTCGCTCAAACAGCCTACCCGCCAACGCCAGTGCACTGGCAACAGCGCCGACTTTGCGCTGCAAGGGGCCATGGTAGTCAAAGGTCAGTTTGGGGACGTCTGGATGCTGGAGGTTCTGGCGAACAGCGCCCGCCAACGACGGATGCGGGCCGATCTCAACATAGACGGTGTGTTGGTCTGGCTGATGACGATTTCGAGCGGCTGCTTGGACGGCATCAGCAAAGCGAACAGGGAAGACGAGATTGGCGACCCAGTATGCGGCATCGAAACCCGAAGCCTTAGGTTCGCCCGTTACTGACGAAGTGAAAGCTACTGGGCTTTCGTTGGATGGATTTTCAACCGATATGACTCCCAGCCGAGCTGCATAGTCTTCAGCGATGGCGCGCATATGATGCGAATGATAGGCAGTGTCAACCAGAAGCTTGCGGTGGAATGTGCCGTCGTCGGCTGCGGCAATACGCTCGATAACCTCGTCCACGGCGTCAGAGTCGCCCGAGATGGTCACGCTACGGGGACTGTTCACACAGGCAACCCCGGCCATGCCTCGAGTCAAGCTCTCGATGTGCCTTTGGACGTCTTGCTCGCCCGAGCCTACAGACAGCATAGCACCGCGGCCAAGTCTTTTGGCTCTGACAGCTTGGGCCATGAACCCGCGGTGGAAGGCAACTTTGATGGCCGTCTCGTGCGATAAATAGCCCGCTGCATAAGCTGCACCAATCTCTCCACTCGAGTGTCCCACCACGGCGCGGGGACGCACGCCCAGGGCTCCTAGTAAGGCGAGTAGGGCGATCTGGATGGCAGAAGTGGCTGGCTGTGCGAGTTCGGCCTCACTGAGACGCGACTCAGTTGCCTCTCGGAGAAGTTCTGCCTCCAGATCCCATGTCGCTCCGAGCTTGCGGAGCATGTCACGCGATGCTCGGATCGAGTCTCGGAAGATGGTCGATATGCCGGGCGTGTCACTAGCCAGCAGCAATAGCTCACGGCCCATGCCAGCCCACTGCGAACCCTGACCGGTGAATACAAATACTACGTCGAGCTTTTCGGGCTGCGTAACTGGCCTGCTGGACAGTGATGGTCTATCGCGCAGCGCTTCGAGCAATGAGGGTCGACAGTCAGCCACTACGCTGGTGCGATATGGCAGTGCGGAGCGGCGGTGCAGTAGAGTATATGACAGATCGGCTAGGAGCGTGTCGGTCTCCTCTCGTTGCTCCACCCAATCATGGTAAAATGTGACCATGGCCTCGAGAGAGGGCGATGAGTTGGCGGAGAGCGTGAAGAGACGCGGCGAGACTGTGTGGACGACGTCACCTCCGCGAGGTGATGGTTCCGGAGCGCCCTCCAAGACGACGTGAGCATTTGCGCCGCCGAACCCAAAGCTGTTGATGGATATACGAGGAACAGCGGTTTGCGGCCATGGGACCACTTGGGTCGGCACACACATGCCACGTAATGGCAAACCGGGCTTTGGGTTGGCATATCCGGCCACGGGTGGGATGAGCCCACGCTCCAGCATGACGGTGGCCTTGAGCATGCTGGCCAGTCCGGCGACGCTCTCGGTGTGGCCGATCGCTCCCTTTATGGAGCCAACATAGAGCGTATTCTCCATGCTGTCCACGCGCGCCTTGGTGGCAAACCACGTCGGCAATGCCACCAAGCTCCTCGCTATCACCCGCCTTAGTGCCGGTGCCGTGTGCCTCGACATAAACAACGTCCTCGGGTCGCAAGCCGGCGCGAGCATATGTCTTGCGGGCTAGATCAGCCTGTGCGCGGCCGTTGGGATACGTGATGCTCTGGGGGGTGTAGCCGTCCTGGCCGGCGGCCGTACCGCGAATCACTGCCCGAATGGGGTCGCGGTCGCGCACGGCGTCGGCTAGTCGCTTCAGCACCAGCACTACAACGCCTTCACCGCGGCCATAGCCGTCGCCGCGGTCGTCGAAAGGATAGCAGCGCCCATCCGCACTGCTCATGTGCAGATTGGACAGGCCAATGGTGAAATCAGGTCCAAGGATCAGGTTGGTCGCGGTTGCGAGCGCCGCGTCCGTCTCGCCATCCTGCAAGCTCTGGCATGCTAGATGCAGAGCGGTTAACCCCCCCGAGCACGCTGTATCAAGTGTCAAGGACGGGCCACGCAGATCGAATGCGTGAGACGGCCGATTCGATAGCATGACCTTCTCCACAGCTGATGACAGGTACACTGGGAGCTCCATCGGGTCTCGGAACACCAGACGGTCGTAGTCCAGCGAAAAGCAGGCTGTGTAGACTCCGGTGGCAGAGCCGGCCACGCTTTCCCTTGACATACCGGCGCTTTCGAAGGCCTCCCATGTCAGCTCCAGCAATAGGCGCTGCTGGGGGTCGGTGGCTGCCGCTTGTGGGCGAGTGAACTGGAAAAAGCCGTGGTCGAAGTCTCGGATGTCGCCTCCAATGAAGTGGCCACCCCGATGATGCGTGGTACCGTTGGGGTCATCGGAGTTGGGGTGATGGAAGGCCGTCTCACCGTTCTAACGGAGTCAATAGAGTGTTTATGCAACCATCGATAATTTATACCTCAGGCAAACTCAAGATTAGCAACACCACCTCGCTGTGAACATCCCGTCAAATTGATTCTCAGCATTTCAACATATTCATGGGTACACAGTATGTCATGTCAGAAGTGGTTTGAGGTGAGAAATCGTCAATTTTATACCTAAAATGAGCTACAGTCACTATTCATGCTCGTTCAAGAGCAGCAAGCGCTCCTCGTTACTCTACTTAGCCGCTTCTGGGGTAGGCAGCTTCGATACCAGCTTCTCGCTCAAAGCAATGAGAGAGCTCGCGTTAGTGATGTCGAGCGTGCTCAGCTCAGCGCCAACCTTCTGACGCACCCATCCGCGCAGCTCGCTGACAGCGAGTCCAGACCGTATGCCATCAGTGGCTTACCCGGCTCCATCTCAGTCTCAAGACGCAGGATCTTGGTGATCTGAGCCTGCAGTAGGCCCAAGGCTGCCTTGGTCAACGCGGCAGCAACAGCACCCGAGCTCTGCATCATGGTGAACGTCTTGATCGCCTGAACCATCTGGTCGCTCACACCATCGGACTCGTCCCCTGTGTTGCCACCCGTGCCGTGGCCGCTGGAGAGGTAGGCAAAACGGGGCTCTTTTGCGAGATCGGATCTATCGACCGTGAGGGGGTAGGCGAGGCCTGTGATCAGTTGGGCGTTGCTGCTGGCGCTTAACGGACTGTTGTTCTGCTGGAACACGGAGTAGCTCAGTATACGGTGCAGCATGCCCTCGTTGATGGGTGTCCGGTTGTATCTCGTGGGCGTTTGTGTTTCGAATCCGGTGGCAGGGAAGTACAGTTTAAATTACTGTCCGAGGAAAAGGCAACCATCATGATCTTCTCCGCCACATAGGCTCGCACTCTAACAAATGTCATGCTCATGGAATATGTAACTATATAGTTGCCGTGATACGATGCTCCCTATTCAGAAGTCGATTCCAGAGATGATATCACCGTGTAGGTATGCAGGCTCAAACAGAATCAAAAGATAGGATCGTAATAGCATTCAGATGCGTCTGAGAACACACTAATTCATGTGGCACTCGTCCAGAGTATAGCACAGCAAAGATAGTCAAAATTCTAGAGCCTCTTCATCCGGACGGCGCTATGAAGAAACACACGCACCACTTTGAGAAGACGATGTTGACTGGCGGATACAGCTTGAAGAGCAGCATTTGGAACGTCACGCCTTATTGAGATAATATATCTGACAGTGCAAAATAACTGTCAAGCAGGAAGTGACTTAACAGCACCGCGTGAGGGATAAAACAATAATCATCCAAATAGAAGACGCAACAAGTCTGCATCGTCATGAAATGCATACCATCCCCAGGGAAAACCAAAGAGCACGCAGATCACTAAGCGTAGCCGGTGTAGCAAACTTAAGACTTGACGATAAGTGAGACAGGCTTTACTCCTACCTCGTCATAATGAATATCTGTCCTTCTCTCATATTGCACATCATTTCTGCTTGGTCAATCACACCTGATATCATCTAACGGCCCGTTGGGTAGCTCACTGACCGTTGATATTCGACACAGGCAGAATTTTCCCCACCGACATATAATATCATATTGTATCATCGTTCCAGCATCTTCCCAGGCCAGTATCCTACATCTCATCACGTCACCATCATTAAAATGTATTCGAGGACCTCCTTCTAGCTTTGGTGCATCTCGCCATTCAAAGGCTGCGGCGTGTTGACTCTATAGATTATATCCATCTGACCGACTGTTAATTATTGATGGAGGGCGTATGGTTTTCACAATGTGAGACCTTAGATACGTTATACATATTCTAGTTATTTGAGGGTATTGGGTCTAGTCAGCCGTACAATATGACTGTCATGATCACTCTCGGGGGATCAAGGGCCATCTTTGTATAAGCGGGCCGTTCGTTGGTGCTGTAGTACTCGCGTTGTGAGGCGACTATCCATCATCCATCACCATGCTTATCATGCAGTTCTTGACCCTGCTCGCCGATGTCGCGTGCTACAATAGCGATGTAATCACGGAAATCAGCTGGGTAGTCTAGGATACTCAGGAGCGCATCCTGGGCACCACAACGAAGAAAGGAGCCAGCATCGGCGGTGGACTACCAGCTGGCGATCGCGGTGAGCGAATCTGCATATTCGCCACGACACAGCACCGTGTCGTGCTCGATATGGCAGATCACCATGGAGGCACGTGTAGCAGCCCTGACCACACGGCTCAACCCTTTGACTCCGTGTCCTGCAAGACCAAATGCATTGAGCGGCATGCAGTGGACAGTACCATCCAGCACGCTTGATGGACGGGCAAGAGGTACCTTTTTGTCCGAAAAGATGACTTGGGAGTCTGGAGAGAAGCCGAGGCCACACCCCATCTCGTCGCAGTGCAGCTGCTCCGTCTAATACTGTTCGGCATTACCTAGAGCCTTCTTCTCCACCACAGCGTATTCTAGAGAATACAACCCGTTATTACAACCTGCTGCTCTGCATCGCATTTGATGCTTAATATCACAGACTGGATGGCAGTGCGTGCTATCAGTACTCGGTAACTACCAGCGAAATGACATATCTCGCCTTCAGAAGCCAATTTCAGGATCGACGGCCCGTGTTTTCACCGAATCCGCGACGCCAGGGCCAGAGGGATTACGCTCGATACAGGGAGCTGTTACATGCAAGATCAGCAGACTCATGATCATACACCCGCAGGCCGATCCATCATAGCTTCTCCCTCCCCGCCCGGACATCCACAACCTCCCCATGATCATCGACCTCCATCATGCACATAATAAACGTATCCTTCAGCGCGCCAAGGCGGTACTCCCGATTGACCTCCTGATAATCCTTACTCGCCGCCATGGCCGCAAAGTGCTCGATGCTGGGATAGTGCACCCACGCAATCTCATCCCACCCAGCCTCGCGAGCGCCCGCCTCCTGATCCTCCTCCGTCGCCGTCACCCTGCCGACAATCTTAACCCGCCCGCCGTGCCGCGACCCGATCCGCTTCGAGAACTCGGCCCCGTACCGCTTGTACTGGTCCTTCTTGCCCGGGTTGAACGCCAGCAGGTTGAGCATGGAGACCGGGTGCCCCCGCAGCCGCGGCGGCAGCGCCGCGATCCACGACGCCGTCTCGTGCGTCATCTCGAGGTTCTGCCCCGACGTCGCGGGATCCAAGGCGGGCGCCTCAGGCGCCTTCACGGAGCCCGGGGCCGGGTGCAGCAGCGCCGCGTTGGTGGTGCGATACTCAGCGAGCATCTTGGCGGACGCGCCGCACGTCGCGGTCCACGAGGCCGCGATGTCCGACGCCTGAATGCTCGGCGGGATGCTGCCGCCGCCGGATACTGATGAGTCGGAGGGGGACTCGAGGATGAGGAAGATGTCCCATCGTGTGTTCCGCGCGAGCAGGTGGCCGGCGTACAGCTGTGTCGGCAGGATCATCCACCGGAGGGGCCGGGCCTGCACGAGGGGCTTGATGCCATTCTGGCGCAGTTTGGAGAGGAAGGAGGCGTGGGAGACGCCGTCTTTGAGGGAGATGAGGTGGAGGGTGCAGAGGACCATTTTTGGTGGATTGACGGGCGTCTATATTTGAAATAGTAACACCCTTGAGTTTGATGGCAATGTTATCCTGTAATGGCCGTGGTGTTGCGGGGCAAGTATATTGGGATCGAGTTTGTTTTGAAATGCCGAGGTAATGTTCATTTGGAAGAAAAGATTACGGCTAACTAGAAGGCAAACTGTCTTAATTATAAAAAATTGCTAGTAGATCTATACTCCTTTTTACTTAAATTCGTTTACGCCCGTTATGATTTTAAGCTTATATAATATTTATTTTGCGATTATTTTATATTTATATGCTTATTATTCATATAAGCGAGATTTCTCTCTCTTGAAATTAATCGAAATTAACTATTATATTTAAAGACAGGCGTAATTGATACTATTTAAAGTTTTGCGCGTTTTAACAAAATTACTGCTTATATTGTTATTTTTAATCTTTTTATCGTATTTTTTGTTTATTATTTACCGCGGGATTATATAACGTATTTATAAATATTATTACTTATAAATGTATATTTTATTATACCTATTACCGTTAATATTAGTAAATTTAATATCATTATTACACGATCAATACTAAGGCTTTTTTGTTTTATACGACGGTTACTTTTTTTGACCTGTTCTATTATTATCTAACTTTGTAGGAACAGGCTTGAACGATCAATCATAATACTCGAGTATGGGGTCAAGGTCATGATGTTGCTGATGGTTGGATTGGGAGGTCTAGCTGGACTTGCAGGTCTGGCTAAGTGTCCTCACAATCCGGTATCTAATCTCTTATCTAATCATACATGTGGATCCGGTATGAATGGTTTGAAGGTTGGAATCACATGGATCCAACACAGGATACTCTCTCTTTTCATAGTCGCGATTCCATCAAACCATTCATCCAGGTAATCTCAATGTTGAACCCAGCCTTTAACTCAAACTGTTGTCTCATTATCAGAAACAAGACCACTAAGGGCTTTGTTTAGAGACGATTTGGTCATCGAGTCGGCAGGGTTGTCTTCGCCATGGATCCATCGGATTTCCGTGATCTCATGATTCTCGTATGACTGCCGCAATGCCATAAGATCAATCATTAGACGTTTTTTGCTGGTTGTGCCGAGTTGGACAAGGCACTGGTATAGCGAGTACGAGTCTGTACAAAGGATCAGAGGGATCGTTGGTAGTTCAAGTCGTTGACAGACAGTTGCCAGTGTGCAGTGGATTACATAGCCGTAGTCGTATCCAGCTACCATGCCATAGATCTCTGAAGCCAGCACGCTACGAGTAATTCTCTTGCATTTAGTAGAGGACCAATGGACAATGTTGCCGGTCACATCAAATGTGAATGTCTCGCCCTTGCCAGAAGATTCATTCCCAAGGATAATGACAAATCCGATCTATAAGGATAGGTCCTTATTGTTGGCAAATGACCCGTCAACGAATACAAAGAGTTTAGCAGTAAACAGATCAATCGTCACGAATCGAAGTCCACGTGACTTGTTGTCCAGTTGCCACTAAATGCGTTTGTTTAGCATCTCGACATCTTTGTCGGAGGGTTCTTGGGCTTGGGCTGCGACAGAATAATCGAATGCGGTTTCTGGTTGACAGATGGAGGCAATGTAGGCGCCCCTCGCTCGTTGCTCAACGAATCTCTGCTTGTAGTCCTTGTCCTTTATGTCAATAAGGACGAGCTTGTCAGCTTGCCCCTTCTGAACCGCTGTCATGATCTCTGTCTGAAATTCCAGGCGGCATCCGTTAAAGTCGCTAGAAGAACCGGTACCAAACTGGGTTCGTGGCTTTGTCTTGTAGCCTGCGGTCTTCATCTCGTTCTCTTCCTTCTCCAGGAAACCGGAAGTGCCAATGATGAAAGTGTCGTCAGTCTGAAGGGCTGTGATAGCAAAGTCGTTGCCTTTCTTCGTGATAAACAAACAAGGGTCGTAGGCGGATGTCTCTATTTCTAGTCTTTCCTTGTGGTGGGCGGAGTATGTGTCATACCAATGATTCCCAGCTTCAGCAATTCCGTACAGGTGTTTGTCGACGCGAAGAATCGTACCCTCTGGATACTTCTTCTTTAGTTCAATAGGCAGTTTGCACAGAACAAGACGATTCATTGGGTGTTGTGACTGAGTATAGGCCATTGTGATGTCTCGAGAGGCGGCGAGGCAACCCAGCCGTCGTAGAGACGGTGTCAAAGCCATGGCCAGTCGTTGGCTACATCGCATGATCGTCGGCGCTTGGGTCATGATACTGTGCTTCTCATGATCGTTATATCCTTGAACCACGAGTCTGCTCTTCTCATAAGGGCGGTCAATGATGCCTTTGACAGTGCGGACGAGACGAGAGTTAAACAGTCGGGTGTCGCCGTGAATCTTGCTGTCGAACAGAATGGGGACAAGCACTTCATCGGCAAATAGAGACTCAATCTCAACGACATCGGATTGCTCAAAGGGTGCTCCGGGGGCTGTGATCTTGCCTTCAGTGCGCAGTTTCAGGGCGAGAGCGTGGTCAGCACGCTCCTTGTGCGAGAGGAAAATGCTATATTCATCTTGCTGGACGAAAGAGCCAGCGAAGTTCTCCTCTTCGCTTGTGATCGTAGTAAGTATATATACCATGTGCGCTTTTCTGGGTCGGCCGCGAGATCGCTTTGTGCTTTAGACGGATGTAGAAAGCTTCGGAGGACGTCCGCGACGACGGGGGAGTGTCGGTTCTGGATACTCAAATGGAACGGGGGTATCTAGATCGTCGGGCTTTTCAGTATCGATGATTGTGTCAGGGTGACGGTTGTACGGCTTGACATGCGTGCGGCTGAATAGGGTTGGTCCGTTAACCATCTCAACGGTTACTTCTCGATCTGTTACCGATAGAACTTTATACGGGCCTTGATATTTGTCTTTTTCGCGGTAGACAAGAACTTCACTGCCAATAGGAAGAGAGCGAGGCAGTGTTGGGGTTGTATCAGGGCCGTTCCTGGTGTTCAGGGCATCTTGAACGTTACGCTTGGCTCGAATCTTACGCAGTTCGGTCATTGCCTTGGCCTGTGCCTGGGCACGCTGGAGCTGTGCTGGTGTCGGAGGTGAATCCATTGTAACGCGTGGATAGGCTCCAAACACTAAGAGTGTAGGCACAAGTCCATCTGGTCCAGCTGTATCGTTTACAGCTTTTACTGCCATCTGCAGGGCAGCTTCTTGGGAGATCTCGGATGATTCGGCTCGGATGATCTCGTAAGAGCGTCGAATGGGGGTATGATAACGTTCAACCTTGCCAATCGACCAATGAGCTTCGACGGGGATCTGATGACAGGTGATTCCAAGCAATCAGGCTTCAGCGCGAAACTCTGTAGCTGCGAAGTTTGTACCAGCATCGTGCGTCAGGACATCTGGGGGACCAAGATAAGTATTGATCTAACATCGTTTCAATGCTTCCCAGGTCTCCTTGGCAGACAGGCTGAGAAGGAATTGGGCTGCTTGGAACGCTGTAGAGGCGTCAACGCAGTGAAGGACAGGCTTGCTGTACAAGTACATAACGTCAACAATGACTTCGTAGTTGAAATCAATATCCTTGTTGATGGAAAACTTGAACCGCTGTGGTGATGGGCCTTTGATCTGGCAGTGATGGCAAAACTTGTTGATCATTACAATGGCATCGCGATCAGCTTCATTGCCAGATTTCTCCAGGAGCTTGTGAAGCTTGCCGACGGAAGGGTGTCCAAATTGGGTATGGACACGTCGTAATTCAGCTTCGGTCAGGAAAACACCAGTTGATGCGGTTGTCATTGCTGAGAGAAAGAACCAGGGATGGCACCATTTACGGGTGATTGGGATGGTCTTGCCATCCTTCGTACGGACCATTCGGTTCGTAAAATTGTCAAATATTACTCCGAGGGCATCAAAATCCTCAAGACAAAGGAGGAACGGTGTTGCAGTATCGATTACGTGGAATGTAATACCTCCAAGAGGGGTATCCACGAACGTAGTGCCCAAGGAGCTCAGAGGTTGTTCTCCTCTAAATCTGACGGTTGCTTCGCCAGCTCTCGATTCATCGAGAAAAATTGGCATCTCACGTTGGAGGGCAATGAACTGGCCTTTGCCGGCGGTTGATATAGATGCTGCTCCGAAATCAGGCATAATGCCTTAAAACGTAGAGCTTGCATATCGGTCGAGGATAAATGTGTCAGAATCGACCTCAACAAACTCATCGTCTCGTGCTGTAATCGCATGCTGAAAGGCACGATTACTGAGGACTACAGCAGTGTGGTAATGTATGGTTTTGTCACTACTATCGATCTTGGCATCCAAGGTGTGTTGATCATGTGTATCGTCGGATTCAGACTCCTCTGGCTCGAAATCGGCCAGGAAATGTGCGTATGACGACGAGGTATTGGGCCTACCTCGAAACTTTTGTTCATGGCGCCATTTTTCCTTAGACTTGCGCTGTTCATCCTCTGAGTGCTTCCAAGAACGGCAGGTGAGCTCTTGGCAGATGTAGCATCGTCTGCTGTTATTCGTGGTCTTATTGAACGATTTGTCATTTAGCTTATTACGTCGGTGAAACTTTCGATCCGTAAAGTGTAGGCCAGCGGAATATTGGCTGCTATGTGCCATCGCCTCGGCGGTCTGGAGTGACTGTCGCAAGTTCGATGCGAGACTCTCAAAGGTAAGGGATGGGATGAATAAAGCTTGGCTAAATTCAGGTACACTGCGGCAAGTACGTTCGACGGATGCCACAAGCTGTGTTTCGCCGCTATAAGCAGGGCCGAGAGCACGTTGACACAATTGCATCTTGGCAAGTAGCAGCTCCAGTATGTCCATCTTGGTCTTTTGAGCGTTCTCAGGCTGTGCTCTCAAGGTACCAAATGTAGTAGCGGTCCAGTCGTGATGATACTGGGTTTTGTTTACTTCGGTATCAAAATGAACCTTGAGGCATTGGTACAACTCCGAGAACATGGAATATCTGCTAACATGGTGCATGAAGTATTCTCGAGCTGTTCCGACGAGAATGTAAGAGAAGACAGC